CAGTATGTTGAATGGAAAAGACCTAATAATTAGAAAAAAAAATCACCAGCCCTTGGCATAGCGCTACAGCCACCACCCTTCTCCATTGATTGGCTGCATTTAGACATTAGTAAAAGGAAGTGGAGAACACATCATTTCACTATATTTACACAGATCTGTCCAACAGCCAATACATCCAGCAGAACAGTTGCCAATATAGTACTCAGAGACTTTGCCCTTCAATCTGAATTTTTTGAAAAGATCCACAAGCATAAGGAATGTCCTTCAATCTGAATTTTCTGAAAAGATCCCTGAGCATAAGGAATTTGAGAATCAACTCTTAAAGAGACTTGGGGAGTATACTGAGATACAAACACCCATACCACCACACCTGACTATGTGGGGAAGGATAGCTCAGTGGTTTGAGCATTGGCCTGCTAAACCCAGGGTTATGAGTTCAATCCTTGAGGGGGCCATTTAGGGAACTGGTGTAAAAATCTGTCTGGGGATTGGTCCTGCTTTGAGCAGGGGGTTGGACTAGATGACCTCCTGAGGTCCCTTCCAATTCTATGATCTTCAAGGAACCCAGTTGAAAGGGTCTGCAGAACTTTCTCAATAATGATACATTATCTAAGGAACAATACATTCAGAAGGACTGTCTGTACCACATAGTGCATAATTATAATTGGTCCAAGCATAAACAGGTATTCTCCATTTCACTGCTGTATGGTTCCATCACCAAGATTCCTGTAGATAGGTTTAACTGTGTACAGAATAAACTGGGAAATAGTCATGCCAAAAGTGACAGATTGAGGATATGTCTGTATCAAACTGTGAAACCCATTTTGTTTCAGAAGCTCTGCTTTGTACTCTAACCTTCTTCTTGGAGTGTGACCTTCACGCTGTGTTGTAACCTCCAGGGTAGATCAGACACCCATTTTGTGCCAGGGACTTGACAGCTGGTGGAAAATTCTAAAAAGCTGAGACTGAGCAAACAAGGGCCATCAATGTTGGAGAACTCTTCCCTACTGGAACAATAGATTTTCTATGAGGAGGGCCACTGACTTTGAATGACTGTCTACTTAGAAACTAATGGGGCCAGGGAGGGGGCTGGAGACTAGAACTTCTCCAGCAAACATGTAGGTGAAGAGGGGTGCTTCTTTAAGCGAGAGGCCAGACCATTGCCACATGCAAGTAAGAAGACAAAAAGGGCTACCTAGTCTAAGGCTGCTGCCCAAACCCAGGACTCACAGGAAGGGTGAGATCAGGCCTGGGGGGCTGCGTTCAGGACTGTGTCTCCTTTTCCAAAGATCTGTAATTCCCTAGTGTGCTTTTTAAGAGCAAAGTGTGTGGTTAAGAAATTCCTTTATTAAGCCTGCATTCCTGGCTCATCTGCCCCTGAAGGGGTTAGCTGAGAAACAAGAGCTCTCACAGCCAGGTGGATCCTGGGGGAATATGTCTACACAACTGGACATATTCCACTGCCCAAGAATAGCATCAAACAACCGGGGTCCACCAAGGAGTGTGCCCGAGAGATCAAGGGTTAGGAACAGTGATGAGTCATTACCCAGATGCAGGGGGCTTAGAAGCATATGGGTTCCAGCAGTGGGATCCATTAATAACTGACTGGTGTCCACATAGAGAGCGGGACTGAACCAACTATACAGACTGATGAAGAGAACAGCTGAAGAGGGCCTACAAATTGTTATGGAAAACAGGAGAGATTCAGTAGTGTGATTGCAAGCACTGCTCAAAACTTTCTGTCTGAATCCAGGAGACAGAGTCCTGGAAAGAAACTTATGTAAATGTGGCGAGCCAGGGAAAAGATGATGATATTGGGAGGATACAATTTATACTGGAGAAGAGGGAAGAAGAGAGGGCCATGTATATGAGATAAAACCCCTTAGAGAAACAGATACAAGAAAAGTACTTCTCTAGAATCTTCTGCTTGTGATTACCTACCAGTTGTGACTTCAGCTGGAATATCAACCCAAAAGGACAAAGAAGGAGTACAGAAACAACAAAGAGAAGATACAAAGAATCCAAAAGGAAGGCAGGTGAACTGATAAAGGCACTTGTAACTGGATATATGCCAAGACTTTACCAGATTATACAGCCAGTTGATTACTTCTACCACCACAGAACAGCACTTTAATGCCTAGAAGACCAGACTGAACTAGCTGTCAGTGATGAGACCTCAGAGACAGCAGGGCCAATGGAAATGGGCATTGAAAGAAAACACCATCCCTTGTCTACATGAGACAACCATGGAACGTTTTCCTGTGTAACTATTTAAAAGAGCCACACTATCAGCCAAGATGCCACCATATGACATCCAACACAAATGCTAGAAATTCTAGGATGATGAAATTTTATAACTGATCTATAAAATAGTGTTATTTTAAAAAGTATATTCGTTTACTGTGGTTTTTAATTCTAAGGACAGCATTTCAGTAGGGAGGGAAGAGGAACAATGAGGCCATGCTTTCAATACTGGTGTTCATCTATGCAGGTTATACTGATATTCATATTCCAGAACCACATATAAAACAATGATAAATTGAGGGTTTGGTCCAAATATAAGTTAAAATGGCAGGTGTAATTCCAAACTCAACTGGGGGAGCTGTCATTGTGGCTTCTATATGGTACACCAGCAGCACCACTCTGCGCAGTATAAGAGTTGGTGGGGGCAGGAAAGCTGACGTGGAAAGTAAATAAAGGAATGAGAGGTAAGGGGTGGGGGAAGATGACTGGACTCCTCCTTCTGATTGGGTAAACTGTTGGAGAGTCAGAGAAACCAACCCCGCCCAAAGGGGTCCAAGGTAAATCAAGATTGGGAGGAGCCCAGTACAGAAAGAAGACCCCTACTCCGTGAAGTTAAGGAGAAGTTATCGTAAGTGATGGTCTTAGTCTTATTGCAATACATTTCTGCTTCTCAAGCAAACTCTTCATGCCTGTGAATTACTCCCAACCCTTCCACCTACCCTAAGTGTAACACCTTCCAGGATGCCCAGCTAGTACCAGTTGTGATGGTGATCTTTGTGAGTTGGACTTCTGTTGAAGCTGTCATAATTTGGTCACAGTGTGACAGCCACTATCTTGACCATCTCTGGGGACTGAACCATGGACATCCAGAGCTGAAAGCACAGATCTACTGGAGCTAAAGAACCAGACTCCATAGCTGGGGGCCATAACAGATCTATACCCTGTGTGGATTGGACACTGTGGGGGTTGTTGAACATTCACATCACAGTGTGTGAGTGGAGGAGAGAGAGGAAAGTACAAGGAACCTCCAGATTCACTCATATGTGGCCGGTGTAAGATCACGTCACAATTGCAGTCCCGGTGCACAGGGAAGGGCAGAAACTCCTCCTTCTATGCACCCACAGGGGAGCATGTCACTCCAGAGGAGGCACATGGGAGAGGTAGGGAGAAAGTGAGGCACAGAGCTGCCCTTTGACACAGATCAGGCCAAGTGCATCAATCTAAAGGACAACGCAGACTGTGCAGTACCTTTGTGCATTGGGCCTCTTTGAAGCACTGTCCCTTTCTGTGTAGATAGGAGTGGAAATCTGGGTGGGCCCTGACTTTTGTGTGGATGGGCAATGACAGACTGTGCTAGCTCACTTCTCCCTCGATGCCATGCCCTCTTCATAGCCCTGGTGCCCCCAGACACAGGGCTTCACCTGCTGAGCTGGGCATGTGCATGGGGCGGCTCAGAAAACATCAAGTCAGAGCTGCCGGAGCATAGCTTTCTGAAGGGCGGCCACATAGCTCTGTCCTGGATTTCAGGTGCCCAAGTGATGTTCTGGGCCACTGTGGCAGCACTACACCCCTACTCAGATTTGGGTGGGCCTGGCTGCTGAGTGGGTGGGCTGCGGCCCACTCAGGCCCACATATGGCTATGCCCCTGCTTCTTGACCTCCCACTGAGGTGATGAAGCTTTGCCTCATCCCCAGCAATCCCCAGTGCCTTAAAGGCACATTTTTGACTATGAAATGTAATGGCTAGGCCAGTAGTTTTCAAACTTTTTAGTCTGCGTACCCCTTTCCAAATAATGTAGTCTACCACATACCCCCATCTGAGATAGGGTCATGTATATCTATGAAAACAGAAAAAAAGAGTCTGTAAAAGGGATAACACAATGCAATACAATGCACAAGCCCTGGAGTGTGTTGTCCCAGATACAATTATTATAGCAAACATAGGCATAGTTTAACTTCTATATTTGGGGAGGCATGGCTCCCGGTCAGCAGCTGCTGCTCTCTGGCTGCTCAGCTTTAAAGGTGGTGCCGCCGCCGCCAGCAGCAGCACAGAACTTCAGAGCCGGGCAGCTGGAGAGCAGTGGCTGCTGGCTGGGGTGTTCATGTTGTTTGCAGTGCAGGAGAGCTATGTTTTTAATCCTGCTCCTGCCCTGCCCCGCAATACCCACTCCCACCTGCTCCCGCATTGTTTCTTGAATTTTTATCCCTCTCCCACTATTATGGCAGCAAGTCCTGCAGGACCTGTGGGACGCCAGTCCCACTGCAGGGCTCTACTCTGAAGGCAGCACTACCACCAGCAGTAGCACAGAAGTAAGGGTGGCAACAGAGGCTGGTGGGGCATCCCATCCACTTTGCATGATGATGCATGGAGAGTTAGAGTTTTCTATTCCCTTTGTGTGGGGGAAAAGGAGATGCAGGGGCTGCTCATCCCCTGTAGAAGTGCATGAGGACTACAATCCCTCTGCATGGGTGAGTTGGGAGTTCCCATCCCATTGCATGGTGATGCAGGAAGTGGGTGGGTGCTAGTGGGGAGACATCCTGAGAGCAACATGTCCAGCCATTACTAGGAAAATTTTAGAGCCCTGACGTGGGACTGGGATCCCACAGATGCCGTAGGGCCCAGTACCATAATAGCAGAAGCATGATAAAAATTCAGGAAACAACATGGGAGGGAGAGGGAGTGGGAGTGGAAATGGGTATTGGGGGACGGGATGGGAGCGGGATTAAAAAAAATAGTCTTCCTGCACTGCATACAACATGAACGCCCGTGGCCAGCAGCCGCTGCTCTCCAGCTGCCAGATCTGAACTTCTGCACTGCTGCTTTGCTGCTGCCGCCCACAACCAGGAGAGCTAGAAACATAGCTGTTTTTGAAAGGTTAGACTCTGGAGCGCCTTTTGGTAGTAAAGGTTCAATTCTCTGGCAAATTCTGCAACTGCAGAATCAGGAATGTCTGGAACACTACTGTAGGCTGATGTCGTTTCCCATTCTTAGGGAAACTGGAGTGGGGGGTGTAAATGGACCGCAAGGATTCAGTTTGGGGCACTGACATTTTATATCAACTGACAAGCTGCAGCATATAAGGTTTATTCTAATACTGAAAGGGTTCACTGGGAACTACCATCTGAAAATTTAGCCATACTAACGTCCTACATTGAAACCTGCCTTGCAAACACTCCCAGCTCCACCATATGACACACTTACGGTGAACTGTATTAATGCAATAGCCCCGAGTTTAAATCGAACTATGGTATCTAGAGAACACCAGTCACCAGAGTATCGAGTTGCTGATCAAAGCATTACACTTTTCTAGTAAAATAAAAAGCACTCAAACCTGGCTGCACGCCAAGCAACCAACGTGCACAGTTTCAGGAGGAGCACACATTTGTGCTGTCTGTATTGCTCTCCAGCATTTCCTGCCTGCTTGTCTACAAAATGTGTGACTGGCTATGTGTTATTGAGGTAACCGCTTGCCTGCCTCAGTCCAACTCAAAGCAAAGGTGCTTGAGGCTGCCTTGCAAAGTGGAGGAAGGAAATAAAAATAAAGTAGTAAGAATGTAGAAAAATAAAGAGTAAGAATCTCTGTATGTTGTCTGAACGCATCAGGTAAAGCACAGGAAGTGCACCAAAATGCTTTGAAGTATGACAACAATGCTCGTACAAACACACACACACAAGCTTGTTCAAGCAGTCCTCAAATGTGCAAAAAGAAAACTTACCCTCATCAACAGTAAACAGACCAACCTACTGTTCAAATTAACAGTAGGATACAGATTTTTTAAAATTTTAAAAAGCTTTTATTAAAAACAGCTGAGCCCAGTTAGGTGCAGAAAAAAATCCAGAATATACTGGACTATATCACTAACCATTTACTGCAGCTCTCCATGTTTCTTTTTCTATTGGTTAATTATTTATCAAAGTGTTCCGATTTTAGTTCTTTTCAGTAAAAAGTCTGTTAGCACAGGGCAGCGTAGACATTAGAAAACCAACTACAAATGATTAACAAAATGATTAGTAGGAAATCTCTCAGCATTCTTATGGCACTCAAGTAAAGCTCTATCACAGTCACACTTCCTCTGAAGGTACTGAGAAGGGGATGGAGAGGTGCTGAAGTTAGCTTGGTAGACACCAAGGAGACTGAGCAGGTGAGAGAGCATGAGACTTGTTTTCAGAGAGAACTTGTTTGCAATGGAGACTGTCCACCCATGGATGCTAACATGACTTTTGAGATCTCTTCTCTTTCTAATATGTATACTAAGGTCCCAGTTGTACTCATGCTGGAACCAATGAAAGTTTTGGCATTGACTGAAGGAGAGTATGAACGAGTTACAAGAGTTCAGCATTCTACACTGTAGGTCTCCATTCATATCAGAATCTAGTACTAATTTCTCCTTGAGACTTTTGTGTTTCAGAAGCATGAAATTCATGTCTTTCAAAAGAAACAATATTTTACTAGGCATAATTATAAGCAAGGCTGGAAAAATTCCCTTGATACTCACTCACGTGTGGACTAAGAGTCAGGTTATCAATTACCCTGCACCTGACGTAGTCATTGACAGCAGCGCAGAATGAGTGGAAAACACTGCTAGATCAAAGGGGTGGCAATTTACTGCCCCATCTCAGAGACCTAGATCTAGCTCTTAACCTTCCTTGTTCCTACATGTAGCCTCCAAACACATCCCTGTGGGAGCCCAGTCCTGCACTCAGAGTAGTATACCATGGATTTGCAGGCTTTAGGCCATCATATTGTGGTACATATAACAATGACAGTGGTAGGAAAGAAGAAAAACTCCATCATGAATGAATAAAGAACTCCTAGCCTATACATGGCCCATGTCCACCATCTGTGCATCCATGAGTCTGTGTAAAGTATGTTTATTTTCCCCTCTCCTCCTCATAACTCTGCCAATTTATTTGAATCCTGGCCCACAAGCCCCTCTTGCTCATTCCACTTTCAGACCCTGGATCAGAAACTTTCACATATGCAGTTATTTTCTGATGTGGAAAAATGATACTTTGCACGTACACAGTGCATACTATATAGAGAATTGCACCTGAGGATCTCAAAATATGCCAGACCTTTTTACAGATGTTAATTAAGACTCACAACATCTCTGCTACACAGGTCAGAATTATTACCTGAATTTTACAGAGTGGGGAGTATAAGGCTCACAGAGATTAAGCAATTTACCCAAAGTCACACAAGAAAATTAGTGGAAAAGCCAGGGAACAAACACAGATCTCATGATTCCCAATCCTGTACTTTTGCCACAAGGCCCATATATGGGATGCAATGTATGGCAATGACCCAAAATGAGGGGGACACAAAAATGCATTCATACAAGAAATTTAAAATGCAGTGGGATTCATTTCTTTAGTGTAAATAACTTTCTGTAATCTCAGTTCCATGATTCTGCATTTCTGCTGTAATTAATAGGAAACAAGAAAAACGAGGACACATCACAGGACACATCACGAATGCGGGCCAGTTTGGGACTAAAATGAGTGCTGTCCCTTGAAATGAGGGACATTCGGGAGGTATTCTCAACAAGGATTCAAACTTTTCAAGCCTTATTGAAGTCAATGGCAAAACTCCCACTGACTTCAAGAAGGCCAAATTTTTAATCTTGGGATTTAAACCCAAATCCTCAATATTGAAAGGCTCTGGTATCCCACTGTTCTTCCTTTACCCCCACTCCAGATTCCAGGCTGCCTCAAGAAGCCCTAAAGGACTCTCTCATATGGAAGCTTCATTTTCTTTCGGTCAACAACTCTGTGCTATCAGGGGTACAATGGCTACTAGCCGAACACAGTAAGATGTGCTTTACAGCTTCTGAAGTAATTTTAATTTCTATCCACCATATGTTAAATCATCTACATGATTTTTGCCACTGTCTTCTTTTTGCTTGGGTATGTTTATTTGAGTACCTACAGTTCTTTCTAAAAGAAACTAGATTCTTATTTCCACTGCAGTGTTAGCATGACACTGAAATCTGTTCCTCAGGTGGCATGAGAATCATTCAAGTCATGCTGACAGGTCTAGCACTTGATCTGACAGCAAACAATGATTCCAAAGAAATCTTTGATTCAAAACTGGAGCTGGGAGGAGAACTTCCCTTTGTATTAACACATAACCATCAGGTCCTAATGTTTTGAAAGGGAGAGCTTGGGAGGGAGAACATACAGGGACGCTTGTAGGGATAAGACAGCAAAGGTTTTTAATTTTTCTTTTACATCATCACAGGGTGTTCAAGAGTTTTAACTGCACCCCTTTCTTTCCCTCAACCTCTGAATTCTGACCCAGGTTTAAAGAGCAACTTAAAATTTCAAATGTCAGCTAGGACTTTGCATTTCTTCTTCTGGTCTGTACTTGTCTAAAACCAGCTGGTTTTAAAACACAGGGCCAGTTCATGTCCTCAGTCACACCACTGCAATCCAACTGAAGCAAATGCCAGGCACAACGGAGAGTAAAGTTTGGTCCATTATGTCACGATATGCACTTTGAGGATCCATAATAGCAATGAGCATGGAAAAAGTCAATGGGATTGCACTGAGTTGCGCCAATGAATTGTAATTTGACAGCCCATTGAGAATGCAGTGGAGAAACAGCAGAAAGCATGATGATGGAAAACCACAAGCTCAGGCTGCGGTAGCTGGAAGTAATTGTATCTAGCGTTTTGTAAGGGAGTCACACAAAGGTAGGTGCGTGCACACACACACTTTCTCGCGCTCTCTCTTGCAGAGTACTGGAGTAAGCTGGGAGGTACAGAAAGCATTTAAACACAGCCACAAATGCAGAGATAAGTATCTTACCTTCTAACCCCCCCTTGCCTGAATAGAACTGGCTGGATAAGAGCTGACTTAATCCTACAGAATCAATTCTTTGCTACTCTGAGTGGGTAATTCATGGCAGAAAATATGGACGTGCTGACACCAAGGGGATGAAAAGAATTGAGGCCCAGGTCTTTGGTGAAGAATATGGCGGAAGTTCTTGATTTCTCTCTGGGTTGCAATTATTTCTTGTTTAAAATAAAAAGCAAACATTTTCGGGGAGCAAAGAGCTGGGAAAAGGGGAAAAGGAGGAGGGGGTAAGACATTACAGGGAGGTCCCCAGGTAAGGCATCCCAAAGAAGGACCACATGGTTAAATCTAGGATGCTGTACCATCTCCCCAATCTTGTTACCTTGACTAGCAAATGAACACATTTATGGGGTCTAATTCTGATACAAGATATCATCTTTGTCATGAAGAGGAGACAGTGGACTTCTAATTGCCTGCATCGAGTTTGGAAGACGCCGGTATAATCTGAGCATTTTTCCATATTCTGTATTTTGACTGGCTGGCCATTCTACCTTCCCCTGCCATGGCTGCCGAAGCTGTATATAGGGATGCCATACCCTGGGCCTTCAGGTGAAGGAAACAAATGTTCTCATTCCTTTTTAAAAAAAGAAACATAAAAAAAGTAAATGAAACAATATTCCCATTTCCACACTAGCAGCAAGCAGCAGGCGAGAATCAATAGGTGCTAAGAGATGCAAGCATGTCCTTCCCAAAAGATACCTTCTTCTTCGCCAGCAATAAGTCTTGGTAGGTGTTAGAACGGAGGAAACGTGCGTAGCTGTCACTCTTCATCAGCTTGTAAATGTGCTCCTGTGGGGCAGGAGGAAAGGAAAGTTTGAGAATTGTTACCAAATACCATTCAGAAATCAGAGGGATTCAAAACAGTCCAGTGAAAGGGAGAGAGAGAGAGAGAGAGACAATTAGAAAGGGGGAGCAAAGTCCTAATTATAATAATTTATCATTTGTATTGTGGCAGTGCCCAGGCGCCCACATCCTGGAGAACTCTATTATGCTACGCACTGTACACCCCACCCAGAAGATGATCCATGCCCCAAAGAGCCTGCATGTATTAATCTGCAGCCTAGAAAAGGGTTGAATTTGTAAAGCCCAAGGCTCTCAGAAGCTAGTATATTATGACCAGATTCTGCCATCTAGTGCTATTGAAATAAAAAAGACTACTGACGGAGTGTTGTACTACTTAAATGAGAATAAGCATGAAAGAATCTGTTCCTTAACGTCCTATCATCAAGGTTCGAACAGCCATTAAGAGTTTACTCTGAGGATGTCATACTCACAATCTGATACGCTGCTTCAGAGCTTTGGTGGGTGGAGTTTCTCTGCAGTCAGACAGAGCTGTTTCCCCCCTACCCCACATCATCAACTTGCTTGTTCAGTTTTAATTAATAATTGAACGTATCTTGAAAAACTCAGTTATTTTTCTACTGCCCCTGTGAACTCTTAATAACCCCGTGCCAAACACAACAAAATATACTTGATTGAGTAAAGACAGAGAATAGCAGTAAAAAAGAGAGTCTAATTCACAAGAGGAGAAACAGGAACACTGGACATTCTATTAGTTCTTTGCCTGTGGAAACCTCTTTTCTGCTGTTACACTGTGTATATTTATACCATATGACATTTTTTTCCTCCACCCCAAAGCGTCAGTATTTAGGTAGATCTGAACCTTTAGGAGAGAGGGAGAACCAGTGAAGGAGTTGGTTGAGCTCCATATGTCCACAGTGGTGGCAAACCAAGCATAGTTCCAGCATCTATATAAAGTTGCTCAACCCTGGAGTTATATGTGTGTGTCTGAGTATTACCCTATTCAACTTTTTTACTGTGTTCTCTGGAAGGTAGGCATTGCTGGCAATCTTTTTACTCAGACACAGTATAATCTTTACCCAATGATGTAACCTGGCTTGGAGCAATCCTTTACTTGTCAATTTTGCTTATTCACTTTCAGATGCCACCATCCTCCACTGGTGCAATGTTCTATATCTCACGAATAGCACAAGAAAAGCCTGTTTACAGCAAAGCCAAAGTCTCTCTGTCCTACTGCATTCTTAAGAAAGAGAATCTCAAAAGACAAACACAAAGTGGGAGGATAGCTTTATTTCCCATTACCAATACAGCAGCTGTGGAATATTTGCTCTAGTAGTTCAGCATTGAACATAGAGAGCCAAACTCACAGCCAACTAGAGGGGGGAAAATAAAGTATATGTCATGAGTTTGGTCATTAAAAGCCTTATATTTTTCTTGTGTGCATGTGACATTACTTATTAACTCTCACAGTATTTCAGTAAGATTGTAGGACTCAGTTGTATTAAATTCAACTGGATGATAACTGGCTCAAGTTAATTTCCTCTTATATCACAAACTCCGTGCCCAGCAACTAGCACTTCACAATGGGCTAGAAATCAAACTATGTCAAAACACACACAAGGTTTCCCCATCATGAGACCAGGATCATTGTAGAGATGATTCTGTCTGTAGGTTGGGAATATTTGGAGGCATTGATGGAGGTGACATTCATGGTCTCTAGAGAGTAAGAGTGCCTGGAGTGTCATAGAGGATTCAGTGTCTGAGGAGGGACTGGGCCTGTCACGGAGATGAGATTCCCAGCCTCCGAGAACATGCTGGGAGCACGGTAGAGATTATGGCCTATGTCTCTGAGGAGTGGGTGGAGGAAAGTGTTGATTTCATCACTTTTTAGCATAGTTATGAATAATATTCTAGCCTTGGAGAAGGCTACAGGGAGGCCTGAGCACAAAAAATGTGCTGCAATACATTATTGGTGCAGGGATTTGGATGGCACTTCATGGGGAAAAAAAGCCCTAGTGGCCTATATTGCCAGGTCCGAGGACCTGACAATTTCTGCATGGCTCAATCCCGTATTCCAAGAATCACTGGCGCGCCCTTAGTGAGTGGTGATGTCTGGGATCTACTATATAATGGAGAAACCCATATTCAGATCCTGGGGCTTGCTGTCAAAAGGAAATGATCCTCATGGGGTGAAAATATTTTCAGTCCTCATAGCCGCAGAGACATGCAGACAGATGGCACTAGATGTTTGCAGATTAGAGAGAGATGTACCAAACCAGGTCAGTTAACAGTAAAGCTGTTGCCCCAGTACTGTAACTAGGGCAAACTGTCCTCCTCCAAGCCAAGACAACAGCCTGTATTTGTTCTTTGTTAGAAAGAGTAGGGACTTTACACCTGAGGCTGGGAGAACAAAACAATGATTTATCAGATTTTGAGATTAAATAAACAGTGAGCTGACACCTTGACTGTGTCCCTCCCAGGAAAGACAAGGCAGAATCACTCCCAAAGCTCTAATGTAGATGTATTCATGTCATTTTTACTAAGCATTCTCTCTGGGTTTCACAAGTTGGAACCAACAAACAATGATATTGCTACTGTTCCTCTGCAGGGCACTGGCATTATGGAATTGTTGATAATTATTCATAAACTTTGAACCTTAATGAGGAAAGGTGGTTGAGCATGGGAAATATGTAGCTTCCAGAACCAAAATCTTGTTCTTCAGTATAAGTGTTCAAGGGTTTTCTTAAACTCATGACTGATGACATGACTGATATGCTGACCATTTCATAACGTAGCTTTTCTGGAACATTCACTGGACATCTGAACCAGCTGTTCATGTCTTGCAGGGTCTGCAGAGTGTCTTCCAGCTGACACATGCTCAGCAGAGCTCCCACCGGCTCACTTGAAAGAGCTGCTGAGAATGGACCACAAAGGTTCCAGTTTGAATTGTGGCTGCAATAATGTGCATACACAACAAATCCAGCCACTGGATGGTGGATTCTAATAACTGGATAAGTCCATACTGGTCTTTGATACCCTCCATTAATAGACACCAATATATTGTCGATACAACTGCCGTGTTAGAATCTAGGAAGTCTGCAGCCCATTGAGGTGACTTGTAATTATAGTGTCTAGCACGTCACAACTTCTGAAATACAGAGAAAAACAAGCAAATTCAAATAATAAATATTGGGGGAAAGACAGATCGACAGTGGAATACTTGGAAATTTAGCTGCACTACTCTCATATAGTGCAAATGGGCGAGTCCCATTATGTATATGGTTTTAATTCATTCCTTGTTCTGGGCTATCATTGCTACCTACCGTGATCCCATTTCCTAACCTACAGAGCAGCTGCATGTGTTTCTCTTCTTTACTGTGTGGCTGAGAGGATGAATAACCTGTTGTGAGGCTATAATCTTCCTCTACAGACATTTTAAGGGATGCAACATTTTTAGGGATGCAGAAGTGCAATGCCCTCTACAGACATGCACATTCCAAGACGTGCTTATCTACATGGTGCTGCTGACATGAAATTCAGGGCTTTCCAGTTGGAACGTTGAAAGAGTATTTCATTTCACAGAGCATGTATCCCAAACCAGTGAGTTAGCTGCAATTAGCACAGTGACTATGTAAAGCAAACACACCACTTATGCAATCCACAACAGCTCAGTTGCAACTCTGGACAGTAGAGCCTATTTCATTAGACGAAGGTTGAGCAGTTCGCTGGAATTGCCCATTACTCTTACTCAAGGAATGCCATGGAAAAGTTATGTTCTGCCTTGCACTGTCGTTCAAAAGAAGGAAGAGACATTTTTTATTTTAAGAATAGCAACAACAACTCCCCTAGCAATCCTTAGGTACTGCCCCTCAGCGTTAGCAATCAGAACAAAACGAATAAAACCTCAGTCATGTGCACTAACCTTAAGACAACACCCCTCTATGTAATGTTCTAAAACATAAGCCTATAATATAAATCTCATAAATGACTTTTAAACATCAACGAAGAGAGCATTCTACTTTTAAAACTCTAGAGTAAGTGGAAAAGAGCATTTTTCAAGAACAGGCCAGGGGGCTGACTTTTATTATCCATCCCATTTGCTCTGTCTAGGGCCTTCTCTCAGAGGCTCAACTCACAAAACCACAGTCTAATGTTGTTTCTGTCACATAAGAGCACCACCATCCAATCACAGTGGACGAGGTGCCTGATATTGCATAGAATCATAGAAATGTAGGTCATCTGGTCCATGCCTGCAGGACCAAGTATACCTAAACCTTCCCTGACAGATGTTTGTTTAACTTGTTCATAAAAACCTCTAATGTTGTCAATTCCACAACTTCCTTTGGTAACCTATTTCAGTCCCTAACTACCCTTATAGTTAGAAAGTTTTTCCTAATAACTAAACTGAATCTCCCTTGCTGTATATTAAACCCATTACTTCTTGTCCTACCTTCAGTGGACATGGAGAACAACTAACCACAGCCCTTAACTTATTTGAAGACTGTTAACAGGTCCCAACAGTCTTCCTTTCTCAAGACTACGCATGCCTATTTTTTTTTATAACTTTCCTTATAGGTCAAGTTTTCTAAAGCTTTTGTCATTTTTGTTGCTCTCCTCTGGACTACCTCCAATTTATCCACATCTTTCTTAAAGTCTGGCACCCAAAATCCTTACTAAAATTCAGATATACCACCTTTACTGCTTCCCCCCATCCACTAGGCCACTAAGAAAGAAGGCAGTTAGGTTGGTTTGGCATGATTTCTTCTTGACAAATCCATGTTGGCTATTATTATCACCCTATTATCCTCCAAGTTTGAACAAACTGTTTGTTTAATAATTACTATGTATTACTGAGACCTGGCTAGATAATGCAGCTGGAATTGTAGTGGCTCAGGTTGCAGGTATATAGCTCCATTACTAGATAGAGTGACATGATCATATGTAAGAATGAATGATACATATAGTTAATTATCATCCTCTAGCAAATA